GCTCTTTTTCTTGCAGAGGGTGTCCAACTGTGTATGCTATCCTATGCAGACGACAAAATTAAAAAAAAACAACGCGCTTGCTCAAAATCAAATATATACAATGGCGACAATTTTTTCATCGCATCCTATATATATATATATATATATATATATAAAGAAAAATATACTGAAAAAACAAACAATAATCCTAATATGCGATTATGCTGTTTTAATGTTTAATGTCAACGTCGGACGTTTCGGTCTAATAGACCGTCTTCAGGATATATTCATAAAACATAATTAACATAGACCATATACAATTCAACATGAAAAAGACGATGGACATAAAAGCAATACCAATCCAAACAGATAAGTGAAATCTTTTATAAGATCAGCGTTCCGTTTAAATATGATCACGTTGTCGTCACGTGGGCGATGTTGTGAAATCGTATTCCTAAAATTTGAGTATTTTGAATGAAAAACGAAAAGAATTTTATTTTGATCTCAAACTTATATGTACGTTTGTCGAGCATTAATCCTGCTAGAAAAGGGGAAATATTAAAGAAGTGTTCACCGCGCGTGAGATAGATATTATGCCTGTTTCATAAAGATGATCATAATTTCGATTTTGATTCTGTGAAGATTTTAAAATATTTTCATAGTAAAGGCGGATTTATGAAGCAGGCATAATGTCTATCTCACGCACGGTGAGCACTAGACAGATAGATAGATAGATAGATAGATAGATAGATAGATAGATAGATAGATAGATCAGTATAAACTGAGACAGATAGATCAGAACTAGGATAGATAGATATATCAGAACAGACTGAGATAGATAGATAGATAGATAGATAGATAGATAGATAGATAGATCAGAATAAACTGAGACAGATAGATCAGAACTAGGATAGATAGATAGATATATCAGAACAGACTGAGATAGATAGATAGATTGCATTAGGGAAGCAGATCATTATTTAAACATGTATTATTAATTATAACTGTCAATGAATATCTACTATGTGTGATGAGCCGTTCTAATGTTCAAATGTGTAGTTGTAAAGAAAAGAAAAAGAAGAAAAAAATCTGTCAACTTATAGTAGCAACAAGCGTCTGCAAAAGGTTTCTTCTGTCTCTCGACCGCAACACTTGTAGGCAAAGCACAGTTCAAACGGTAGTCCGTCGTAACAGGTAACGTAGAAACGACAAAATGGCGTCACACATCCAATCTTCACTTCTCACCAGCAAAAACGCGTGTTCGTCCACCAAGCTCCGAAAATCTCATCCCTCATATGCGAAAAACAACGGCTTTTGTTCACCGGGAGATCTTTCTGATTGGCCACGCCATTCAGAGGAGGGAAGAACATTAGCATAGATTCTGTTCCTTAAAGTAGATTTTCGCCAACTACTTTTTGGTAATTTTCCTTCGACAGATTGCACACAAAACACGAACTCTTTTTTGAGGTAGCTGATTATCTTTTTCACTACAGAATCTTTGCTTTAATTTCGGGTGAAAATAATGACAAACATGTCGAACATGTTTTATTAAGTTGCCCCTAACCTTTCGGCACACATGAGCCATTCTCAGGGTTGTTATGCAAACATAAAACAAAGATATCCACTCTCAAAGCTGATTTTTTTATTATTTTTTTTTGACGTAGAAAATTGCTGTACATCGATAAACAGTCGCGGAATTGCAGATGCGGATGGTAAATTCAAGACCCGGTTCTATGACGTCATACCACGTGATAGGCCGAAGTATTACAGCAGAACCAATGCCTAGATGCAATGCAATATGTTGTGACTATTTTGAAGTGTATTTTTATTGAGTGTGGGTTGCTTCGTTTTAATGTAGATGGCCTACCATATAAAACATATAAAAAACTATATATATATATATATATATATATATATATATATATATATATATATATATATATATATAATTGTCATCCACAGGTGAACTGTTTCGTTGTATCACAGCTCTTCAGTGTGGCTAGACGTCCGATTGCTTCAAGCCGGGATCGAAACCCAACCGATTTGTTATATGGAAAATTATAAAAGTGTGTAAAAAGTATTCGTCTAACGTGTTTCAACCTTTAGCACTCCGTCAGACAATATTTTAATTATTTTTCCTGCAGTTGTTCTTGTAAAAACGTATATATTGTTTTACACACATAACACGCACATATATATATATATATATATATATATAGAGAGAGAGAGAGAGAGAGAGAGAGAGAGAGAGAGAGAGAGCTAGAGAGAGAGCTAGAGAGAGAGGGAGGGGTAAATAGATGCATATATGCACAATAAAATAGAAATTTTTGCTATTGTTATACGTATAATTATATAATTTACCTAACATTGAACTGGGCAGAATTATACGTATAAAGAGATCGATATTTAACAAGAGCAATAATTATTGAAACACAGTAATACTTATCGATTTCGACTCTTAATTTCGGAATTTTCGCAACCATCACTCAAACTTTCAATAAGTGTCAGATTTCTTGAAGATTTTCCATCAATTAATATTGAATCTTATATCTAATTTCATTATTTATATTATATATATATATATATATATATATATATATATATATATATATATATATATGAGTGTCTGTATAATTTATACCTGATGATTAATTGCCTTGCTATTTTAAATTTTTTATGATTTTTTTATGGTTACATATACGATTGTAGGTGTGGAAGGGGATAGAAAACAATGAAATTGGTGATTTATTATTAAAATCAAAAGTCAAATAACAAAATAAAATAAGCTAATCCTGAATTATGCGATCTCAATTTGTCGTTGAAAGCTTTGACTGTCACGGCCAGAAATTTATTACCAACATACTTGCCACTGTGATCTTAATGGGCCTCTTTAAGTTTTTGTGTCCGGATATTTCAGTTAAATTGGCAGTAGATCAATATATCACATGCTATAGAGGCAAATTTGGGCTCAGAATAACTATTGAATTTCACAAAATGTTTTATTATCAAATTCATATTATTCAAAATTGAAATGATATATATATAAGGCAGTTATTTTGGGGGGGGGAGAAATCTGTTCTAAAAATTACGTATAGTTTGACAAAAATATGTCGGATTTATAAAAAAAAATCCATTATTTCTTTAGAAATTGCTTTGTTTACGTTTTGAATACGAAACTGAGGAGTCAAGAACATTCCGGAATCTAAAGGAGAATTATGTGCTTAAACGTAGTTTGACCCTCCTTATCCTCATCATCATCATCTTCATCCTGACTTTTGTAATCGTAGGTTGGATCCAATTGCAGGAGCCACACTAACTCTTTTCCACAACGGTCTATCAACAGCAGTCATTAGCAATTCTAGTACAATCATACCTGTCCATTATTTGACATTGTCCAATAAGTTTTCGCGTTGGCGTCCTCTCCTACACCCACCTTCAACAGTGACTTGCATGATTAATGGAAAGGCAGTTTACAACCTTGCTTAATCGGTGATGCTTTTCATGGCCGAGTCGATTAAATGCTCATCGAATCGAACATACATTTATTTCCCTTTTTTTACTTTCAGAGGTTCTAAAAAGGAATCATAATGACCAAGAAGCCCTTGAAAAAAAAACGGGGATAGTAATTAGGCAATGTATTTTCTAACAACTTTCATAATATAATGCAAAAGTTTTACACATCTAACCAGCCTTTTCAATGATTTTCACAGCTTTAGAATCTCTTCCAGTAATCATTTCTGTATATTTCAATACAGCATAAGAATCATACGCGCTTAGATCTATTCCATATACGGAAATTCCCTTAAGAAGCGTCCTGGGTATGACGATAAACTACATCCGGCAGCAAGACCTCTGCTCCCCATATTGGAGTTTCTGACGAGCGCGAAACGACCTCTTGTTTGCTGTTGTTTTCAGGTCCAACCTGACCTGGTGGGTAGCGCCTGTTATTGTCGCAGTTATGTGCAAATAGTGATCACAAAGAAAAATCAACAGTGGATTTTTATAAGAAAATGACCAATATATTTTATAGCAAAACGACTATGAATGTAACACTAAAAAAATATAAAAATACATTTTTATAGTAAAATTACCAACAATACTTGTATGATCTATAAACTATATAATCTAAAATAAACTTACCTTTACACTGAGAGCATAAAATTATATACAAGTTACGTTCTGGATATTTAGACTTCGCCATTAAATAACTCATAAATGTGTTGATATGCCGCTAAATAAATTTAGCCAATAAACTGTTAAGAAAATCTTGTTATATCTTAGCTTTACATTTTCAAACCAAGTACAGCATGTTAAAATAATAACGTGTTTATTATTTATATTATTTTAATTTGGGATTAATTTATATATTATATATCTAAAGGTAGATTTAGTCTGTCCGTCCGTAAGTCTGAAATCCCTTTAACTCGGGCCACACTGACTTGACATAAATAAAGATATAAAGATGATCCTGTGTTTGAAATCTTCCCTTCATCTGGTGATTGAAAATCCAGGATTTGTGTGCGGATTAAAAGAGAGCAGTGAAAAAATCAAATTTTTAAAATTTAGATTTTACATGTTTTTACAAGTTTTTAATTTATGTTGAATTTAAAGTAACACGAAAATTTAGTGAATTTAAAAACATTTGTTTTAAATTCAGTTAAAATATCTCCAAACCATTTTAAATTGAGGAAACCAATTTTCTTTCTTTAAAATGTCAAGGAACCTGAGTTAAAGACGTTTCGTGACGAGGGGTTTTGAAATTCCTCAGTGTTTGTAATTTAAAGTACTCTATATTCGGCCCAAATCGGACTTTCGGTCCAAATCGGACTTTCGGCCCGAATTGGACTTTCGGCCCAAATCGGACTTTCGGCCCAAATCGGACTTTCGGCCCAAATCGGACTTTCACCCAAATCGGAATTTCGGCCCAAATTGGACTTTCGGCCCAAATCAGACTTTCACCCAAATCGGAATTTCGGCCCAAATTGGACTTTCGGCCCAAATCACTCTTTTGCCCGGAATTGGTCTTGTAGCCAGAAGTTAAAATGAGGTTTTAAAGCTGTATGGAGTTAACTGAGGAATTAAAAGAAATTTCTTCAAAATTATCATTGCTGTTTTTTTTAAGTTGGCGAGAAGTCCCTTTACTTTGGGGCCGAGACCCAGTTAGCCTTGCGAAGGAATTACCTTCAAAGTCTGCACAGAGTTTGGCTTCTAGACTAGTTTTAAATAATAGAACCGTAAGAATTTACTTGATTTCTTTTAGCATTATTATAGTCATGGAGTTTGGCTTACAAAAAGAAGTATTTCCTTCAAGAACGAAGTTAATTGAAAATGAGGAGCGAAATTATATTTTGATAAAATTCGACAGCGGCGCTCTCAAGAATTTTCCAAATAATTAATAATTTTATCTTTTCAAAAGTGTTTCATTCTTTGGATCGAAGTTGTGGCTTTCACTGATTTGACATTTGGAAAGACTTCCTGGAGATATTTTCTAAAATTCCTCATATTATAATAAAAGTGTATTAATTATTTTGCAAACAAAATCTAACTAGACTTTCCAAATATTTTCCCAGTTCTAGAATTTATTCCAATAAACTTTTGAGTATATTTCAATTCAACTTCCGAATACTACCCGCCTGAGTATATTTCCAGATATGGTAATTCTCTTACGAAAATCTTATTATAAATTAGCTTTTCCTTTTCAAACAACAGAAGTCTTTTTTTTTTTATCTGTACTTTTTAGTTCATGACTCTGCTTCTTTAATCAGATTTTTTTTCTAAACTTAAAATTCTTTGTAAACTTTTTTGCCTTAATGCCAAACAGAGACAAAAACGAAGAACAAAGCAAGAATTCTGTCTTCTACTCACTTGATATTTTCCCATACTTCCTCACCAAAGTTCCGCAGCACAAGCTGTTCAAGGGCATAATTCACAAAACCATACTACAAAAGAGAAAGATAATGGAAAACAAATAATTTTAGTTAAAAGAAGAAAAAAAAACACGTCTGAAAGAATTTTATTTATTTTTTTAAGGGAAATAATTACTTCAGTTTATAATGAAAAAAAAAACGTACGTCTATACTTTTAGCCATAATTTGTAAATCTAATTTGATCTCTATCTATAAAAGCCAGGATGTATGTGTGTGTGTGTGTGTGTGTGTGTGTCTGTAACGAATGCAATTTTAGACGGATTTCCACCAAAATTTACATACACATGCTCCAAGGTAGTCGAAAGGCCAAGACCGACTTTGCATTTCCCAACTCCCATCGATAGTGGAAATAATCGATTTTTTCAAGCTTCTACGTCAGTTTTCATGTAATTTGCGGCCATTTTCTACTGGCCAGAGTGAGACCCTATAGCTGGCTGCCACGAATAGGCAGGAAGATTCTATTGGCCAGCGTGAGAGCCAACAACTGACTGACACGAATGTTAACTAGCATGCTAACATGAAAAAAAATCGATAGCTGCATTCGTCACAAGTGGGAAAAATTTAAATCTGCATGGCACTTTACTCCAATTGACTCATTCGCTTGCTTAAACTCAATGTTGATTCTGATTCCGCAGAACTGGGTTGGGTGTGAAAAAGTATTTGTTGTTAACATTCTTTTTTCATTCAGTTTTTCCAGTTACGAGTCCTTTATTAAAGCTGATCGTTTTGTGTTCGCTTTGTTTAGTTCTTTTTTCGTAACAGATTTAATGTTTAGTATAGAGCTTAGAAAAAATTCACAGTGTGATGTAGGCAAGAAGTAAGGCATGTAGCAACATCAGCACGGCAAAGGACACTCCTTTAAAGGCAAGGAAGGGCAAAAATATTTTAAGACAAGTGATAGCGATTGCTGTATGAGGCGTATGATTTTTGAATTAAGCATGGACAACGCCGGGTCATGCTGCTAGTTTTGTCATATACAGAACATTTTATGGATAATATTTGCATTCATTTTTTAGATCTAACATTTTAACGGTTTTTCAAAGCATTTCTAAAATAAGATTCATTATCAATGCTTTTACATTATACCTATAACCTAATTCTATCAATAATGTTTACATTAATTCTTGACCACTGACAATGTCTATTTTCTTATTTCTATTGTACTTTTATAATAAAATCATGAAAAATGCATTTGCATTCAGTTATATGGCAGTGAATACTTGATAGTCTCATCGACGATGGCTGATTGATTGCAGGTTGTTTAAATAAAGAAATATTTTTTGGATTATAAGAGTTTTTACAGATAATTATGATTTACTGAAACCAGTCCTACTAATTAACCCATAGCTGGGGGAAAAGTAATGGATTCATACTTTTGACAAGGATATTTGCATATAAGTTAATATAAAAAAAATTTGAAACCGTCTCTCGGTTGTCTATTTTCGAAACGTTATCCTTTACCCCAACCCCACTCATCGAAGGTTAAAGCACCTGGTGTTCACTGATAGTCACCATCTGGGTACTGACCTGGCTCGACGTTGCTTAACTTCAGTGATCGTACTGTAACCGGTGTTTTCAAAGTGATGTGGCTGTAAAGTACAATAGTGAGCATAACTTTTCTACCTGAGAAGAAAAAAGTTATGCCAAACACTGTCGAACGTTTTCGAGATGTTCAAAATAACACCCCAAACTTCACCATTCTTATCTAAAGCTTGATGAACTTTTCCCGCTAAAATCGTTAATACATCAGCAGTTGATCAAGAAAAACGAAAGCCATATTGCTTGTCTGAAAGAAGGCCCTGCGATGTGAGATGATTTACTAAATTAGTGTTGATTAGGGCATCTAGTAGTTTAAACAACACAAAACTGGAAACTGCTACGTAACCTTAAATATTTAGAAATTAGAATAATCCAGAACCTACACTGCTAGCAAACTGCCAGCATACAGATGGAAAATGAATTCAATAAATATACAAAAATAGAATGGGGTGTAAGACAAGGTTGTGTCGTATAACCCGGGCTTATTCAACCTATGCAGTGAGACGATTCAGAGACAATTAGAAATTCTACCAGGTTTCATTTTTGATGGCCACAATCTTATTAAGATAGGAGAGTAGATATAGAAATGAAACTACAAGTACTCCGAAGGAACGTAGTGAAAAAAGGCGAAAAGAAAAGACGAAACATTAATTGAAAGCGTACAGAATGCACGATTGTTAGAAAAAAAAAAGCCGAGCCCAACATACAAATTACAAAATGTGGATACCAAAATCAAAGAAGTACAACAATTTAAAAATTTGAGAAGTGTTTTAACAGCGGACGGAAATTGCGACACCGAGGCACATTGGAATAGCGAAAGCTGCCTTCCAAAAGCTAAGCAAAGTATTAAGAAATCATTATAAAGAAAGAAAATATTACGAAAAAGTTATGTAACATCAGATCACCTATAAGCAGCGAATACTGAACAATCTCCTCACAGATGAAGAACATACATGAAACAACAAAAATCTCATTTTACAGAAAGATGCTGAGAATACCATGCGCCAGACATGGAGCAATGGTGGAGTAATGGCTAGCGGCTCGGACAAAGGAGTCGGAGAGCCGAGTTCGAATTCCAGTCGTATCCATTACATTCACTTACATGCTAATACCCTTGGTAAAGGTATGTATCCTCTTCTTCTCCCTCCAGCTATGGGTAAATTGCAGGATAAATGGCAACCGGTCTACCACAATAAGAAATGGCAACTTACGGTGGGAAAAAATCTGCCTCGTTAGTGATGTATCGAAAGATAAATGATCGCCTAAAAGTGTATCACGCATGACACAGAAGTGACTGATACTTGACATCAGAAATAGACAGTTGAAATTTCTAGGACACATAATGAGGAAAGAGGGCTTAGAAAATTTGATACTTACAGGATAGACCGAAGGTAAGACGGAAAGTGGGAAAAGATACATAACCTACTTAGCGATATTGAATAAATGGATTAAGAGACATAACAAAAAGAAAAACATCTTCAAAATACAGAGGAAAACCATGATTCCAACATCCTCAAAATCATTTTAACCTAAGAAAGGTAATAAATCCACTAAGACGTAAGGGGGGGGCTACTGAGTGTTAGAGAATAGCGAAAAAAAAACTCTGTTAAGGAGAAAAAAACAATAAAATAACAATAATTAAGCAAACAGTAGATAAGGATTGACAATGCATTTAAATTTTTAAAGTTGGATCTTTTTTTCCGTCTTCTCGCTTCCCAAAGCAAGAAGACGGAAAAAATGATCCACAAGCGAGAAGCAAGAGAGAAGAATCTGCTAAATGTGGCACAAGGCCGAAAGAACGGAGCATTCAATAAGGATCAAAATCATTCGGAACTGATCTAGTAAGCAATGCTTGCTAAGCATTACCCGACGTAGAAGTGGCCATAATCTTTCCTCAGAAGTGATAGTTATTCAGAGTAAATAATGATAAGGAAGTGGCATATTACCCTATGTTCCGCAGTGTCACGGCAAATATATATATATATATATATATATATATATATATATATTATATTGTATTTACTCACCCCCCCACCGACGAGATCAGGTTGAGACACAAGGTCGGTTTAATGTAGGGAACCCGAGCGCGTACACCCGGGCTAAGAACAAAAGTGCCCGCAGCACCCGCAATGCGAGCACCGATCTATATCTCTGGTGCAATGAGAGGGTGTGGTCTCCGGCAGCTATTCCCAAGTGCTGTGCTCCTTTCAGTAAATTTTCCTCAATTGCGACTCTGTCACTTGACGGAGTCGCCCCTGAGCGCAAAGGCAAAGACGCAGCTGAGCAATGATAAATAGGGTGATACAAATTACTCACGAGAGTAAGTTACAACCTAATCGCTCTCTCTCTCTCTCTATATATATATATATATATATATATATATATATATATATATATATATATATAAGTGAACATTGAAGTCAACACTTAAAGGCCACAGGCTGTTTCATGCTAGACGCGATCGTCAGGCATGCGTTAATTATGAAACAGCCTTTCGTCTCTAACTTCAATGTTCACTTGTAGGTTTACCCACGCTCTATCTCTGATATTGAGCACTTTATCCCATCAATATAGCACACCTTAAGACTATATATCTTTATATATATATATATATATATATATATATATATATATATATATATATATATATATATGTCTATAATACTTTGGTTCTTTCAATGACGCACATTTATTTTTGTTTTTGACAGTCCCTGCTTTCATTTTCAATGGCCATCATACACATTAAGGGCTAGAATTTGTCAAAACAAATAAACATGGACCTGCAGAATTTCAGAGCTTCGTTGTTTTTGTTCTTCAAACGAAAAAAAAAACATTTTTGTTTCTATAGAAAATGACTCAATCTCAGCATAGTCATGAAAAGTTTGCAGGCAGTGGGAAGAAAAAATTGAAACATTGTGTATAACGACAAAAAATACTAAAATCTAATCCTTTCCTTTACTGTCTCAGCACCAAAACATTCTACATCAATGTATTGATATCGTGCATAGAATCACACTGAACAACTGGAATGTGAGGAAAGATCTAAGGGACTGGATTAATGCGATCACGGTACCAGTGTACAAAGGCAAAATTATAAGGGAGTTATGAACGCATTATCATGGTACAGCTTTAATTTCGCCAGCAGGCAAATTCCTAATGGAAATTTTACTGTCCCGGCTGAGTGCTCACACTCGAGAAGATATTGCCAGAGTCAATAACGGTTATGGTTTACAGAGAGCGACAAATCCAAGAGAAGTCTGATGAATAACAACAAGTTTATGTCTATATTTCTGAGATGAGGTATTATGTACACTATTTACATTATTCGGACTATTGTCTTCATCTTTGTTGCCATATTTATCACAACGTTTCGTCCGTTGTAAGCTCCGGCCTTCTTCAGGTGGTTGGAATGTCGAACTGAACCCTTTATTTCGCTTGATGTACTGTTCTAGTTCCACGTACCATGTTTAATGGATGTTAGTTATCAGTTATCTCCTGTTGATCACCGCCCTCTGTGATCGGGTTAAAATCACAGACAAAGAACATCATTGGAAGATTCGTAAACTTAAGGAATCAGCACATATGCTAGGCCATCTCCTGAGCCGACCAAGCATAGAAACGAATACATTATGGAAACCAGTAAGAAAGAGTGCCAGAGAAAAGCAATAAAAATAACAATAATTGCAATATGAGCTCTGGTAAAAAAAATTTAATGATGACATCAAAAATTGCAATGTGAGCACTAGTAAAAATGGTTGCTGACATTAAGTTTATAAATCCCAGAAATTCAAATACAGAACAATGAATAAAGGTGTTGGTTAGATCCAGTGACAAGACCCAAAGAGTTGTGAGTTTAACACCTGTTGAAAGCAGTGGAGAACTTGGAGAGGAGAATTAATAGGAGATAACTGATAACTGACATCCATTAGACATGGCACGTGGAACTAGAATAGCCTACCGCAGCGAGCGAAATAAAGGATTCAGTTCAAAATTCCAACCACCTGAAGAAGGCCGGAGCATACGTTGTGATAAATATGGCAAGAAAGATGAGGACAATAGTTTGAAAGTTGGGGTTTCACATGATAAATAAGGATACTTTTCCCCCAAATGATTACTGTTTTTTAGGAAACGAGTTTAAAGTTAACTTCAAAATCGTAATGTTGAAATTTCATTCCGGTGATCAGTGAAAGACTTATAGAACAACCTTATTTATAAATTACTAATGCTTTACAAATTTTATATAACTACATGCATTGAAACAAGGGCATTATCACTGAATCATTGTGCCATCAAATAAGACCTTTATTTAATTCAAAGGGAAATTATACCGAACAATTTAGCTATATTATGATGTAAGATGTTATACAGTGCTGTAGCTTTATTAGATTTTCAATAAACAATGCATATCTAAAACATTTTGTCTTATAATTTTCGCCCAGCAGTATTATGGGTTTAAATATACACTTTTTGCCTAGTTTTTCGTTTTTATTAATTACGATCTAACAAGTCTTATTCATTGAGTAGCCGTTTTTGTAATCATTTACAATATTTTTGTACATTTCTTATTTATCAAATACGCTAAAAAGATTGTTTATTTTGCTTGTGGTGATTCATGATTAGAATTTACGTTTGAATATATTTTCCATTCAATGTATACAAAAGATAATAACTTTATTTACATTTATTTTTGAAATGGTAAAATTCTGAAGACAGTTTGGAAGCTGCGGAAATTAAGTATTTCTGTACAGTTTTTTTTAGACGGTCTTTAAAACTAAATGCTCTAGAATTGGTAAAAAGCCATGAATCTAACTTTGGTGTCAGTACTTATGACATCCAAGCCCAGCTTTCACACCGATTGCATCAATGTTGATTTTCTAAATAAAGTAAAAAATCAACCTGTTGCACTGTTTCAAGTCTTCATAGATCTCACGACACTGCAGGCAGAGGGTTTTTACTAAAGACTTTCTTCGCCATTTTGTAGATATCATTCAGTCATTTCATGATGGCATGGATATAACTGTTAACTGTAAATAAATTTAAAAAATTATTATGCTT